GGGATTCACAGCTGCTCGGGGACAGCAGCTCCTACAATTACGATTGCTTTTGTTTTAATTTGTTTTGTTTTTAATGATTCGCTATCAGACCTCAGTTGTGAAAGGGGCCGGCTCTGGGTTGTGGATGCTCCTGCCATCCCTCAGCAACTCTGGTCCAGGGTCATTCCGGGCTGCTGACTGTGCCTGACTGGGAGGAGCAGACCAAGGACCAGAAGCGCAGGCTTTGTGAGCAACCCAGCCCGGGCAGAACTGCCCCGACTGCAGGGAGGTGGAGGGGGGCTCCCTCCTTCTTCCGCCTGGTTGCCTGGTGCTTTGTGACACAGCCTCCAACTGGCTTCCAGAGTGACAGAAATGGATTGGAGCCCTTGGTCGCTGTGGATCCTTGGCACGACTTCTGTAGCAGCCCATGTTTCCTCGGGGGCTCCCTGCCAGGCTGGCATCTCAGCTGCTGGGCTGTGCCAAGAGCTGGGTACAAATCCCTGGGGCTGGAGAGAGGGGCCTATGCAGTCTTCCCCCAGCCTCTCCTCCAGCTGACACACACTCTTGCACACACTCCACACCCATGCTCACACACATGCTTGTGCACACACATACGCTCACACATGCTCACAATACACACGCTCTCACACACATGAGTTCACACACACATGCTCACATACACACACGTACACGCCCACACATATTCATGCTCACACATGCTCACAACACACACATGCTCACAACACACACATGCTCACAACACACATGCTCACACACACACAATGCTCACACACACCCACACATACTCTCACAACACATACACACACTCACGCATGCTCACACACATGCATATACACACCCACACATATTCACACTCACATGGTCACAACACACACACGCTCACATACATGCTAACACTCCCACACATACACTCACAACACAGACACCTACACACCCACACATTCACGCTAACACATAATCACACACACACACTCACACATGTTCACACACACATGTGAACACTCCCACACACTCACACATACACCCCCGCACATATTCACGCTCACACATGATCACAGTACACACACACATATGCTCACACATGCTTCACACACACGTCATGCTCACACATACATGCCCGATGCTCACACACACACTCACATATCCTGGGGATTTATTTATGATCTCCTGCTGAGGTATAAATTCTCTTTTTTTTTTTAGTCTCTCTCTGTCTCCCAGACCTGAGTGCAGAGTCACAATCTCGGCTCACTGCAACTTCCGCCTCTAGGTTTCAAGCAATTCTCCTGCCTCAGCCTCCTGAGTAGCTGGAATTACAGTGCATGCCGTCATTCCCATCTAATTTTTGTATTTTTAGCAGAGTCAGAGTTTCGCCATGTTGGCCAGGCTGGCCTCGAACTCCTGACCTCAAGTGATCCACCCGCCTTGGCCTCCCAAAGTGCTGGGATTATAGGCATGAGCCACTGTGCCCGGCCTGATATATAAATTGGATTGTGCTCAATCCACTTCTGTTCTGATCCATGGCTACTGGTGCCTATTATGTGCAGGGCCCTGGAGATGCCGCAGAGCAGAGGAGAGACTGGGCGCAGTCCTTTAGAAGCTTCCAGTCTAGCCAGGGGCTTAAAAAAACCTGACAGGCCGGGCGCAGTGGCTCAAGCCTGTAATCCCAGCACTTTGGGAGGCCGAGACGGGCGGATCACGAGGTCAGGAGATCGAGACCATCCTGGCTAAGCCGGTGAAACCCCGTCTCTACTAAAAAAATACAAAAAAATAGCCGGGCGAGGTGGCGAGCGTCTGTAGTCCCAGCTACTCGGGAGGCTGAAGCAGGAGAATGGCGTAAACCCGGGAGGCGGAGCTTGCAGTGAGCCGAGATCCGGCCACTGCACTCCAGGCTGGGCGACAGAGCGAGACTCCGTCTCAAAAAAAAAAAAAAAAAAAAAAACCTGACAGCCCCAGCACAAAATGACACACGAGGTCTTCAAGAGCAGGACAAAGGCATGTGGGAGCACCAGGTGGGGAGCACTTCGAGTCAGGGGACTGAACGAGGCTTCCTGGAGGAAGGGACATTTGGGTTGAGTCCCAAAGGATGGGCAGGACTTGGACAGAGAGAGATGAGGGAGGAGGGGAGAGGTTCCAGGCAGAGGGGACAGCCTAAGTGAGAACGGAGATCCAGAAAGCGGGGGTGTGTTTGGGGCCTAGGGAGCAATCTCTGTTGCCTGTGAAGGGGAGAAAGTAGAAGGTGGAGCTGCAAAGCTTGATTGGGGCATATTACATGAGGTCTTAAGTGCCAAAGTAAGGAGTTTGTGGTTATGTGGGAAGGCAATAGGGAGCCATAGACAGTTCTGAGCAGATAAGAGTCACAACCCGAGTAGCCATACCACCAGTATGTGCTGGGTCTGGGGAGAGGATGGAGCCCCCTTGGGTGCACCCCCATGGGTGCTCTGGCACTGCACACTGAAATCCCATTTTCTCTGTCCCAGGCTGGCCACTTGGGTGATATGTGGGGCTTGAAGCGTGGGAGGGAACAAAGATGGCACTCAGACTGGGGTTCCACTGGCCCTGAAGCAGGATGGGCGCAGTGAACAGACCCACAGCCAAATAGGGTCTTGGCAATAGCACTTGGGGAGATGGCAGTCCGGGTGGGACCATGCTGCTTGGGGGTGTTGGAGTCGGGTGGGAGTGGGGGTTCATCTCCTGGCTCTGCAGGGGAGGAACTGTCCTCCAAGACCAGCACCTAGGCTGGTCATCAGGCTCAGAGGCTGGTTGTGAGGTTTACTGACAGCCTCGTGTGTCCCCGGGGACAGCAGGCTAGCTGAGAAGCTGCCCACCTCTCTGTCGAGCCTCCTCTGCTCTCTTGCCCGCGCTGTCTGGGTTTTCTACCTCATTCTTCTCAACCCCCAGGACAAGGAGGAGGCAGTGATTCCATTCATTGGCCAACGCCCCGAAGTTTCCCTGTCCCTGGGATGCTCTTTGGGCTTCTCCCAGGCTGTCATGTCCCTGCAGGACAGAAAGGCAGGGCTGGGTCTCAGACATGGACAGGATCCCATATGCACTTGACCTTTCCAGTCACAGGAAGAGCAGGGGGCGAAGTCTGGCAGTGGTCAGTCTAAACACCAGCCCAGAGAGCAGCTCTAATCCACTGGCCCCGAAGAAGGATTGAGGTTCCCTCTGCCCCGAACAATGCTTGAGTGACAGGCCTTCCAAATAGGCCCCTCCACCCCCTGGGCTGCTTCAGGAACTAGGGCACAGGTCCCGCCTGCTGAGCTCTGGCCTCAAGAGCACTTGTTAGGGAAGGGCTGGAAGCAAGGCCAGTGGGGCAGAGCCTTCTGTTGCTGGTGAGGTGACCAAGACAGTAGCAGGGACTGTGGTGCAGGGTCTGTGGCCTTAGGAACGGATGCAGGTGTGATGGGAGACAAGGTTGTCACAACAAGCCTGTCCCAGGGTCCCACGCACGTCACCAAGGCTCATTCAGAATCTTCAGCCGATCCCTGGGATAGGGGACAAGATGGAAAGTGATGGCCACCTCCTTGTCTCCACCCATGGTTCTAGGAAGAGCTGAGCTGTGGGCAGTGGAGGCCAGGGCCCAGGATCCCAGGAGACCAGGACATGCCAGGCTGGGATGGAGGCAGAGCCAGGTGAAGCCACCACAGACCCTGTAAGGCTGAAGGAGGTGTTTCCCCCCCCCTCCCCAAGTGGGTGGTCAGGGCTCCAAAGGCACAGCAGTTTCCCCGCCCCTCCCACCCTCACTTGGGGTCAGCTAAGGTGACACTGGGGTGGGCCAGCCAGCATGGGGGCTGCAGGGAGAGGCGCCAGGAAGCAGGGACACATCACAGGCCCACCAACCTTTCCTCAGCCCTGGGCAATTATATGGTCACAAATCACAAAGAAACGGTGGCGTAAGCACCCTTGCCAGGCTAGTGGAATACTCGGGAGGCCATAAAAATTCAATTGGCCTGGCTAACCCGGTGCCCAGCTCCAGGATACGGTGAGGCTGGTGCAATGGAGGGGGGTGCGCGGGGGAGCAGCTGCGGGTGGCCCACGGGGGCAGGAGATCTCCAGAGTCTGGCAGACGCCTCCACCATCCCCTGAGCTGCAGCTTCTCCCTCCAGTGTGGAGGGAGGGCACCGGGTCCCCTGAGGGGGCTCTCCTGAGGCTAGGTCCGGTTGGCTCAGTCTACCCTGCAGGGGTCAGAGCCAAGTCTGCAAAGCTGTCCCCAAAGCCCCTCTGCCAGGAGAAGGGACAGTGTCAGAACATTCTGGGGCCTCAGAGCTCATCGTGGGAGAAGGAAAAGGCAGAGCTGGGCCATCCTGGGACCTCCACACGGGGTTCAGGGCTCAGGGATAGAAATGACATAGTGCCACTTACCAGTTATGACTTAACCTCTCTGAGCCTTAATTGCCACTTCAGAAAAATGGGGAAAATAACAGGAGCCATTTCAGAGAGCTATTGAAAGGGCGAAGTGACATGAATTCACACAAAGCTCTTAACGTGGGTCCTGCCCACAGCGTGCGTTCAAACGCTATTATTCCATTTGTATGGAATTAGGCTCCGAGTCAAGTCTCAGGGCCTAGAGGCACATTTCTGAGCTCTGAGGGACTCAGTTCCCTTCTGGGGGACTTGGTAAGGGGCAGAGGTTTGTGCAGAGAAAGGAATTCTGGACTGATCTGGAACTTGGATGCTGTTGAAATGATTTAAGCCGGAGGTTCTCAGCCTCGGCACTGTTGTTTTTCTGGGCTGGATGAATCTCGGTTTCGGGGCGCCGTCCTGTGCATTGTCAGGTGTTTAGCAGCATCCCGGGGCTCCAACCTCTACATGCCAGTAGCACTCCCCAGTTTTGACAACTAAAATATGTCTCCAGGCATTGCCAAATATCTCCAGGGTCTAAATCCCCCTCTGTGGCTGTTGAGAAAAACTGGGCTTTAATCATCTGAGCGGGGAGGGGGCGGGGGGGCAGCAGAGGAGGGGCCTGGGGCTTCGAATTCATGGTGTTGCTTTTCTTGCAGGGAGGAGCCAATGGCTGGGCCTGCCACCCACACCGCCCCCATGCTGTTCCTCGTCCTCCTGCTGCCCTTGGAGCTGAGCCTGGCAGGCGCCCTTGCACCTGGCACCCCTGCTCGGAACCTCCCTGAGAATCACATCGACCTCCCAGGCCCAGCGCTGTGGACGCCTCAGGCCAGCCACCACCGCCGGCGGGGCCTGGGCAAGAAGGAGTGGGGCCCAGGCCTGCCCAGCCAGGCCCAGGATGGGGCTGTGGTCACTGCCACCAGGCAGGCCTCCAGGCTGCCAGAGGCGGAAGGGCCGCTGCCTGAGCAGAGTCCTGCAGGCCTGCTGCAGGACAAGGACCTGCTCCTGGGGTTGGCAGTGCCCTACCCCGAGAAGGAGAACCGACCTCCAGGTTGGGAGAGGGCCAGGAAACGCAGCAGGGAGCACAGGAGACGCAGGGACAGGCTGAGGCTGCACCGAGGTAGCTGGAGAGCTGCGAGGGGTGGGGATGGGAGAATTCCTGCCATGGACTGAGGGGAGCAGGACAGGATGCAGGGACGGATCAGGGCTGTGAGGTCCCTGGAAGAATATCCAGAGGAGAGGAGGGGTCTCAGAGGGACCTGGTAAGGGGAGGAGGCGGGAAGAGGCCTAGGGTTGGGGCATGGGAAGAGGAGAGGGATGTATTGCAATAGAATCTGTCTTATCAACAGATCATCCTTCTGAATCACGAAGTTCTACCTAAATTTCTCCTACTGTAAGTTCTGAGTAGAGATGGAGCAACAGCTCAGTGCTCTCCAAGCACATTCCTTACTCGACTCTGAAGCATCGGGTAGGGACTAAGAGCCTAGACTCTGAAGCCAGGTCTGCCTGAGATCAGGTCCTGCCTCCACCACTTACTCGGGTGTGGCCCTGGGCAAGTTCTCTTTCTGTGCCTTGGTTTTCCCCTCTGTAAAGCGAAGAGACTGGTCCCACCTACCCTCAGTGTCGTTGCAGAGACTTGGTTAGTGGGGCACTTGGGGCTCAGCTGGCAGGGCCACGAGCGGTCATTGCTCTGGTTAATCCCAGCCCCGTGCTGAGGCCAAATCAGTGTCCTCCAACCTGGATGCAGGTGACTCCAGGAGAAGCATCACTTGCCTCCTGCTCCTGCCTCTGCCCTGTTTGTCTCGGTGCGCCCCTAGCCCTTCCCACCTTCCTGAACATTTCCTCCACGTCCCCTGGGAGCTAGCTAGCCCCCTGCTGGCCCGGGCTTCCCCCTCCCGGTGCCCATTCAGTCTCAGAGCAGACATATCCTGGCAGCTCCAGTCAGGTGGCTCCTCCCAGCCTTGCCTGGCCCTAAGCCAGGGAACTCAGCTTCTAAGCTTTCTGTGTGACCAGACTGCCTCTAGGGACATGCCGAGTGCCACAAACGCAGTGGTGGTGGCGGGGTTCTTTGGCAGGAAGGCAATGGAGCCTCAGCGCCTCTTATGCAAACAGTTGAGGCTGGCTTCCCTGCGAGGCCTGAGAACCCCCCAAGTGGGCAGAGGCCAGTCAGGGCCCCCTGGCTTTGACTTTCAGCCTCCCACTCCTGGGGTCACCTGTGTCAGCTTTCGGGGGAGGATGCTGGCACCCTTGAGGACAGCTAGAGGGCACGTGTGGGGTGTGGACCCGTCCTGCTGGGCTCCTGCTCCCCCAGCTCCAGGGCTGCAGCCGGGCCTCCTGAGAGAGTTGACACGGAGAGGAGGAGGCGGGGAACAGAGAAGGTTTGCGGGGTAGGCCCTGTTCTGCTGACAACTGGCTGTGAAACCTCAGGCCGGGCCAGGCGTGGTGGCTCACACCTGTAATCCCAGCACTTTGGGAGGCTGAGGCGAGCGGATCACTTGAGATCAGGAGTTCGAGAGCCACCTGGGAAACATGGAGAAACCCATCTCTACCAAAAAAACAAAAATAAGCCAGGTGTGGTGGCACAGGTCTGTAATCCCCGTTACTCAGGAGGCTGAGGTGGGAGAATCACTTGAACCCTGGAGGCAGAGGTTGTAATGAGCCAAGATTGAGCCCCTGCACTCCAGCCCTGCTGGAATTGAATCCAGGCCCTACTACTCATGAGCTGTGCATCCTTGGGCAAGTCACCTAACTTCTCTGTGCTTCAGTTTCCTTCCCTGTAGGTAAGACTGAAGGAGCACCCACTTCCCAGAGCTCTTGCAGTAGTTAGATAAAATAATACTTGTGATGCAGCTCATCTGGTACCCAGCACACAGCAGGTGCTCCATTAGGGGGGTGATGACTAATTATCACCACACAGGATGCTCTCACTTATGTGTGGTAAGCAGTGATTCCCACCTCCCAGCTTTCTGAAAGGCCACTGCAATGATTCTCAGCCTCATGACACTTCTCCCTACTCAAACTTCACTTCCTCCAGGAAGCCTTCCATGGTTAATCCTACTAGTTCCCATTTGTTACACTTACATATCTGGCTGCGGCCAGCCAACCTGGACTTGCACTTGCTGGAATGTTGCTTTACAGGGAGAATCTTTGCGCTGTCTTCCCAGCGACACGGCAAGTTCTTCCAAGACATTTTCCTCCAAGTTCCCCTCCCCCTCCCCCCCAAGAAGGGTAGGAAGCAGGGATGGGGGCTGAACCAAGGGCTTGTCACATGGTCCCTGCTACCTCCCAGTTTGTAGCATAAAACGTGGGTTCTACTATAGACCGCCACGAGGTGGCAAGCAGATACAGCCCCTGTGCTCCCCACCCTGTGTCTCAGGCCGAGCCTTGGTCCGAGGTCCCAGCTCCCTGATGAAGAAGGCGGAGCTCTCCGAAGCCCAGGCGCTGGACGCAGCCATGGAGGAGTCCTCCACCAGCCTGGCCCCCACCATGTTCTTCCTCACCACCTTTGAGGCAGCACCTGCCACAGAAGAGTCCCTGATCCTGCCTGTCACCTCCCTGCAGCCCCAGGTAAGGGGTCCCCAAACAGCCTCGGATCTGGAAGGGTCCTTGAGCCCATGTCATGGAAAACCCTGTTAGTACATGTAGGGAGACTGAGGCACGGGGGCAGGAGGCCACAGAGCTTAGATTGAAACCAGATTTCCTGCTGCTCATCCAGTCTAACTCCAGCCCTGGTGGGTGTTCCATCCTGACAAGGGGCTGCCACTGTCCAGGGCGAAGTGGTCCCAGGGGCCCACTCTGGGGACAGCCAAGGAGGCAAGCGGCAGCTCAGCATGCTGGTGTCTGCATGGAGAGCAGCGAGGCCTGGATAGGAGCTTTCTGCATACAGAGGAACATGAAGCATAATAAGGGTGATTTTTAAAACCATGTCGTCAAGACCCAGAATTAATAAGCATTAGCTAACACTTGGACCCATCTGCGTCAGATCTTTAAAAAAGGTATGTGGGCCGGGCGCGGTGGCTCACATCTGTAATTCCAACACTTTAGAAGGCCAAGGCAGGAGGGTCACTTGAGCCCAGGAGTTTGAGACTATCCTGGGCAATATAGGGAGACCCTGTGTCTATAAAACTTCTTTAAAAAGTTAGCCAGGCATGAAAGCATGTGCCTGTGGTCCCAGCTAATTGGGAGGTTGAAGTGGGAGGATCGCTTGAACCCAGGAGGTCAGGGCTACAGTGAGCCATGATTGCACCACTGCACTCCAGCCTGGGCAACAGAGTAACAGCCTGTCTCAAGGGAAAAAAATATATATGTGAAGAGAAAGTAAGCGAGCAAATGTGACAAAAACACTACCCACTGGTGATTCTAGAAGAGGGGTATATAGGAGCTGACTGCATCATTCTTACACCTCTTCTGTGGCTTTGAAAGGTTTTCAAAATAAAATTATTTAAAAGGATCAATAACGTATATGTATTAAAAAATACATAAAAAAAGAGATAGGCCAGGTGCGGTGGGTGGCTCACACCTGTAATCCCAGCTCTTTAGGAGACCGAGGCAGGTGGATCACCTGAGGTCAGGAGTTCGAGACCAGCCTGGCCAACATGGTGAAACCCCGTCTCTACTAAAAATACAAAAGAAATGAAGCTTTTTTAGCAGCAGATCTTTCTTATCCTTTTTTGGGGTCTTGCACGCCCTTGAGACTGTGATGAAAGCTGCGGACCGTTTCTCAGAAATGCATGGTTATCCATGTCATCGTCCAAGGCCCCCTGCAGCCCAGCCTAGTAGGTGCAGTTCCTGCCCATGTCCTAGTGCACGCACAGACCCACGTGTAGATCCAGCCATGACCTCTAGCCCTCTGCATTCCTGGGGCCACTGACCTGGGCTGTGAGTGGGACTGAGCCCTGGTTGTGGCCTCAATGGTGCCGCGGAGAGCTGGTAACCTCTGCTGAGAGAGGAAGGGATGGGAAAGTCCAGTGAGTGGCTTGGCTTTTATTTATGGGAGAGGGAGCCCAACTCCCTCGTCATGGGCTTAAAGACCCTGGGCAAGCAAGATTGCCTTCCCAGCCTGCGGGTGGTCTCCACCCCTCCTCAGAGGGCCTGGTGGGTAACTCACCTGTGTGTGTCTGCATGGTTCTTCTTGAGTAATGGCTGCAAAGAGAGGAAATTAACCTAGTGAACACTGGAACAGGAGCCTGCGGTAGCCATCTTTTTTTTTTTTTTTTTTTGAGACGGAGTCTCCCTCTGTCGCCCAGGCTGGAGTGCAGTGGCGGGATCTCAGCTCACTGCAAGCTCCGCCTCCCGGGTTTACGCCATTCTCCTGCCTCAGCCTCCCAAGTAGCTGGGACTACAGGCGCCTGCCACCTCGCCCGGCTAGTTTTTTGTATTTTTTAGTGGAGACGGGGTTTCACCATGTTAGCCAGGATGGTCTCGATCTCCTGACCTCGTGATCCGCGTGTCTCGGCCTCCCAAAGTGCTGGGATTACAGGCTTGAGCCACCGCGCCCGGCCGCGGCAGCCATCTTTACGTCCTCGGGCCGAGACTCCAGGCTGCCCAGCAGAGGATGAGGTAGCCTCTGAGAAGCCTCTTTTTTGCCCTCTGGTCTTGGGACTCCACACTCCTGCTTCCATGGATTCGAAGGTTCCAACATCCCTCCCTCTTCACCGTCTCCAACAGGCACAGCCCAGGCCTGATGGGGAGGTGATGCCCACGCTGGACATGGCCTTGTTCGACTGGACCGATTATGAAGACTTAAAACCTGATGGTTGGCCCTCTGCAAAGAAGAAAGGTATGCCCACCTACCCCACCACCTTCCATGCCTGGGCGCCCTGCCCTCCCTCACCATCTGTTGAGGTGGGAGCCCCAGTGAGCCCTGTCTGATCTTCAGATGTCCAAAGGTGGTATGCGGGGAGAGGGGGAGAGCATGGAGCCTAACCTGGAAATGCCTCTTGGAATGGAGAATGCTGTCACATGCTTGTCACGTGCCACACGCTTCCATGTTTCCACTCATGTTACCCTGGGGGAAAATACCTGTTAGGTCCGTAGTACTGTTGATCCCATTTTAGAGAAGAGAAAACTGAGGCAGAGAGAGAGAGGTGTATAGTGCCTTGTCCAAGCCACGCTGTAGGATGGTGGTATGGGCACTCCAACACCTGAGTCCCTGTGCTTAACCTCTGCTCTGCTGGGCCCCAGCTTCTAACGACAGATCTTCTTGTCCCCAGAGAAACACCGGGGTAAACTCTCCAGTGATGGTAACGAAACATCACCAATCGAAGGGGAACCATGCGACCATCACCAAGACTGCCTGCCAGGTACCAGCCTGCATGACCCAGTCGCACGCCGCCCCCTCCCCTCTCTCTCCCGGGCTCAGTCCTCCTTCCTCTTCCGCCCCCCTCCTTTTTCTCCAGGCGGCAGCCAGCACCCACATTCAAGGCACCAGGCTGGGTGCTGAGAGGAAACCTGGGTGGGAGTGGGGGTTCCCATGTGTGCAGGACCTGAGGATCCTTGACCCTTCATGGATGATAAATAATAACAACAGCTGCCAGTTTCCTGAGAGTTGCCGTCAGACATTCATTCATTTAATACGTTTCTCACGGCCAGGCATGGTGGCTCACGCCTGTAATCCCAACACTTTGGGAGTCCGAGGTGGGTGGATCACCTGAGGTCAGGAGTTTGAGACCATCCTGGCCGACATGGCGAAACCCCATCTCTACTAAAAATACAAAAATTACCCAGGCATGGTGGCACATGCCTGTAATCTCAGCTACTCAGGAGGATGAGGCAGGAGAATCAATCACTTGAACCTAGAAGGTGGAGGTTGCAGTGAGCTGGGATCACGCCACTGCACTGCAGCCTGGGCGACAAGAGGGAAACTCCATCTCAAAAAAAAAATTACATTACTCACAACAACCCAGTTTTGAAGTCAGGTGATTGAGCCCCAGAGAGGCTGTCTTGCCCAAGGTCACACAGTTAGGAAGTGGCTCCAACCTGGCCTGGCTGGAAAGCCTCTTCAGAGCCCCACGGTGTCTTAAATCGGGATGATCCTGTCTTGCCCTCTTCTTCCTGACGCCAGGCAGGGCTTAATGCTGTCCTTGTCCCATCACAACACTGCCGGGCATTCTGGAGATGCCTTTGGTGACATCCTTACTGTTTGGCAGCCCGTCCCCATGGAGACAGTCTAAAAACAAGAAGCTGGACATTGTAACTAATGTCCTAAATGCTGGGGGCTCTTGGGGGTCCGTCGGGCCCTCCAGGAAGCAGATACTGAGGTAAGTTAGAAGTGTGAGGCCTGGCGCAGTGGCTCACACCTGTAATCCCAGCACTATGGGAGGCCGTGGCGGGAGGATCGTGTGAGCCCAGGAGTTCAGGACCAGCCTGGGCAACACGGGAAGACTCCATCTCCAAAAATAATAATAATTTAAAAAATTAATCAGGCTTGGCCGGGCACGGTGGCTCACGCCTATAATCCCAGCACTTTGGGAGGCTGAGGCGGGTGGATCACAAGGTCAGGAGTTCAAGACCAGCCTGGCCAAGATGGTGAAACCCCGTCTCTACTACAAATACAAAAATTAGCCGGGCATGGTGGCAGGCGCCTGTAACCCCAGCTACTCGGGAGGCTGAGGCAAAGAATTGCTTGAACCTGGAAGGCGGAGGTTGCAGTGAGCTGAGATTGCACCACTGCACTCTGACAGAGTAAGACTGTGTCTCAAAAAAAAAAAAAAAAAAAATTAACCAACCAGGCTTGGTGGTGTGCGCCTGTGGTTCCAGCTATTCGGAGGCTAAGGCAGCCTCGGGGGTCAAGGCTGCAGTGAGATGTGATCGCACCACTGTACTCCAGCTTGAGTGACAGAGCATGACCCTGTCTCAACAAAAGAAAACAAAAAGTGCAACAGATTTTTTTGGGGGTGGGCTAAGGTTGGGAAACACTTGTGAATGATGAGAGGGGGAGGAAGCTGGATTGGATGGGGGAAGCTTCAGACATCATGCTGTCGTCCCAGCACTTTGGGAGGCGTTCCGGTGCAGAGGTGGCCTGTTAAACAAGGCGCATGCTGAGGAGAAATGGCTGGGCCCCAGAACCCCTGTGCCAGTCATTGGCAGGGGCTGCTGGGAACAGCCTGCCATGGGCCGAGGTGGCCCTGAAGTTGTACCAGCTGGAGGCCGCCAGCAAGCGCTTTCCCCAGGAGAGATCCCAGCGGCACACCTCCACGGCACCACGATTGTTAGACCGATGACCAGAATATTCCACAGAACAGCAACCAAACCAGCAATTAGCATCGTATAAGGCAGACCACCAGCTCCCTGACAGGCTGCTTCATTCCCAAACCATTGTTTTCACCCTGGGCGCAAAGAAAAGGCCCGCGTTTGGGCCGACTGGACCGTCGCTCTGGGAACTGGCTCCGTGGCAGGTGCCCAGGGCTTCAGTTCCCCCATCTGTCAAAAGAGGACGTTGGTGTTGGGGATCCTGAGGTCCCTCCCAGCTCTGAGCTGACTCCACACCTGGCAGCCCCCAGCTGTTCTACTGGTCTCTCTGGGAGGAGACCTCACACCACCTTCGCTCTTCTGTAATCAGTCAGTTGCCTATCTGAGGCAGCTGGGGTCTCTGCCGCCGACCCTTGGGGGCCTCGGCCATGACATCCGTCTGCGGTTCCACCCAGGAGCCTTGCACACCAGATGGCCCACCCCGCCAGGGCACGGCCTGCCACAGAGATGATGGATCTCTTGTCCAGTAGGACGGAGTGCAGGGCTGCGGGGAGGGGCGGCTCGGGGCGGCTGACTGAACGTGCTCTCTGTGTTGGCAGGGACTTGCTGTGACCTGCGGGAGCATCTCTGCACACCCCACAACCGAGGCCTCAACAACAAATGCTTCGATGACTGCATGTGTGTGGAAGGTGGGTCCAGACTCCTTTGCGGGGGGCTTCCCATGCTCTGAGAACCACAAAGCCTCCTTTTCTCGAAGCTGGTTCTGCACTGAGTGGGGGACAAGCTTTCCCGGCAGAGGGTGAATCAGGGGCCTGCGGCGGGGGAGTAGGTGGGAGAATCCCTCGGGAGCCGAAGACGTGCGCAAGAACAGCTTTATCAGTGCCTTCCCAATCTGTGAACTCATTTAGTCCCGATTCTTGGCATCGTTTCTCAGATTTGCTTTTCTCAACTTTTGAAATACAAGCTGGCGCAATCTCCCACTATCTGGAGGAGGGAGAAGGGAGGAGACAGGAGCACATCTCTTTAAATTAGATCCAGCCTCAGAAGGCTGCCGCTTTCACACCAGAATTCTATCCCAGGGGAGGCACTGAAGTGTGATAATGGGGTGGGGGTGGGTTTCCCAGCATGTCCCAGGGAAGGATGCCCTTGGCCAGCTGCCTCTTTAACTCCTCCGTGCCCCCATCTCACCTAGGTGTGCTGGGCTCTGTGCTGAGCACTTTGCTACTGAAATCCCCATGACCACCCGTAGAAAGGGGCTATGATGATCCCCACTACACAAATAAGCAAACTGGGGCACCGAAAGCTTCATGATGCCCAAACTTACACAGCCAAGAAAGTGGGGGAAGTGGTTTCAGGGTTTTTTTGTTTTGTTTTGTTTTTGAGATAGGGTTTTACTCTGTCACCCAGGCTGGAGCACAGCGGTGCAATTTTGGCTCACTGCAACCTCTGCCTTCCAGGCTTAGGTGATCCTCCCATCTCAGCCCCGCAGGTAGCTCTGACCACAGGCCCATGCCACCAGCCCAGATAATTTTTGTATTTCTGATAGAGGCTTTCGCCATGTTCCCCAGGCTGGTCTCAAACTCCTGACCTCAAGTGATCCACCTGCCTTGGCCTCCCAAAGTTCTGGGATTACAGTCATGAATCACAACACCCAGCCAGTTTCAATTTTTTTTTTTTTTTTTTTTGAGACGGAGTCTTGCTCTGTCACCCAGGCTGGAGTGCAGTGGCGCGATCTCGGCTCACTGCAAGCTCCACCTCCTGGGTTCACGGGCCATTCTCCTGCCTCAGCCTCCCGAGTAGCTGGGACTACAGGCGCCCGCCACCACACCCGGCTATTTTTTTTTTTTTTTTTTTTGTATTTTTAGTAGAGATGAAGTTTCACTGTGTTAGCCAGGATGGTCTCGATCTCCTGACCTCGTGATCTGCCCGCCTCGGCCTCCCAAAGTGCTGGGATCACAGGCTTGAGCCACCGCGCCCAGCCCAGTTTCAATTTTTTATTCTGCAAAGTTTCAGATACATACTAAAGTAGTCAGAATAGTCTAATGAACGCCCATTTCTCTTCACTCTGCTTCAGTACATACCAACTCGTGGCCAATCTGTGTCTGTCATTTCTCACACACTTTCCTTATTCCGACATGATTTCTAAGCAACTCCTGGGAGCTTACAGGTATTTCATCTGTGAATATTTTAGTGTGTACCTCTGAAAGACAAGTACTCTTTTAAAGACAAAATGCCAAAAATGAATGATAATTAATCTGTTCCATCCAATATCAAATCAGCATTCACATCTCCTGGATGGGGAAATTGGGGCTCAGCCCCTCTGTAGACCTGAGATACGTGTCCTGTTTTGCTCACATTAGCCTCAGAGATTATCTACCATGATCATGCCACTGCACTCCAGCCTGGATAACGGAGCAAAACCCTGTCTTAAAAATGATAATAATAAATCTTTTTCTTCCCAATTTTTAAAATTGTAGACTTTTAAATTTAATTTAATTATTTTTTTGAGACAGGGTTTCCCTCTGTCACCCAGGCTGGAGTGCAGTGGCGCAATCCCAGCTCACTGTAGCTTTAACCCCCGAGCTCAAGGGATCCTCCTGCCTCGGCAATAAAGCTATGTAGTTCTGATTATTCACTCATCTAATCAGTTAAATATTTATGGAGCACCTACTGTGTATCAGACATTGTTCTGGACACTGGGGGGTTCGGTAGTGAAAAGAACCAGCAAGTTCTGTGCCCGTGAATTACATTCTAGTGATATGAGCAGACAACAATGAAATACACACAAAGGATGTCTTTAGAAAATAATAAGGGCTATGGCCAAGCATGGTGGCTCATGCCTGTAATCCTAGCACTTTGGGAGGCTGAGGCAAGAGGATCACTTGAGGTCAGGAGTTGGAGACCAGCCTGGCCAACATGGTGAAACCCTGTCTCTACTAAAAATACAAAAATTAGACAGGCATGCTGGCACTTGCCTGTAATTCCAGCTACTCAGGAGGCTGAGGCATGAGAATCGCTTGAACCCAGGAGGTGGAGATTGCAGTGAGCAGAGATTGTGCCATTGCACTCCACCCTGGGTGACTGAGTGAGACTGTCTCAAAAAGAAAAAAGAAAAAAAGTAAGTAATAAGGGCTATAAAGGTAATAATATGATAGAGAGTCCTGCAGTTGTTTTAGAAAGGGTAGACAGAAGTGGGCATTGGAGGCCAGGGGAGTGGTTCATGCCTGTAATCCCAGCATTTTGGGAGGTCAAGGCAGGCGGATCCTTGAGCCCAGGAGTTGGAGACCAGCCTTGGCAAGGTAGAGAGACACTTTGTCTACCAAAAATACAAAAAAAGAAAAAATTAGCCAGGTGTGGTGGCACACACCCATAGTACCAACTTCTTGGGAGGCTGAAACAGGGAGGATCACTTGAGCCCAGGAGGCAGAGGTTGCAGTGAGCCTAAATCTTACCACTGCACTCCAGTCCAGGCGACAGAGCAAGACCCTGTCTAAAAAAAAAAAAAAAAATGAAAGAAAAGAAAAAGAAAAAAGAAAGAAAGAAAAGAAAAAGAAAGAAATACAGAAAAAAACAAAAAAGAAATGGAGGCCTGGCACAGTGGCTCATGCCTGTAATCCCATCGCTTTGGGAGGCCAAGGCAGGCAGATCACTTGAGGACAGGAGTTCAAGACCAGCCTGGCCAACGTGGTGAAACCCCATCTCTACTAAAAAAATACCAAAAGTAACAGGATGTGTTGGTGCATGCCTGTAATCCCAGCTACTCGGGAGGCTGAGGCAGGAGAATCACTTGAACCCAGGAGGCAGAGGCTGCATGAGCCAAGATGGTGCCACTGCACTCCAGCCTGGGCGACAAAAACAAAACTTCATCTCATAAAAAAAAAAAAAAGCAATGAAGAGCCATAGAATGTTTTACAGGGAAGGGCAGAATTTGAGCCACTTAAAAAAAATTAACAAACTTTTTCCTTTTCAGTGTTCAAGATTATAGACTTTCTAATTGAATTTATCTGTGTGTTTTATTTTTTTAATTTTTTTTGAGACAGAGTCTCACTCTGTTGCTGAGGCTGAAGTACAGTGGCGCAATCAAGGCTCACTGCAATCTGGAACTCCTGGGCTCAAGGATCCTCCCACGTTAGCCCCTCCTGTAGTTGGGACTACAGGTGTATGCCACAATGCCTGGCTAATTTTTACATTTTTTTGTAGAGATGGGGTCTCCCTATGTCGCTTAGGCTGGTCTAGAACTACTGGGCTCAAGCGGTCCTCCCACCTCAGCCTCTCAAAGTGCTGGGATTACGGGTGTGAGCCACTGTACCCTGTGGACTTTATTTTTAGAGCAGTTTTCTAAAAAAATTGCACAGAATGTGGTTCTCATATACCTTCTTTGTCCCTGCATGCAGTTTCTCTTATTAATAACATCTTGCAATCATGTGGTGCATTTGTTTGTTTGTTTGTTTTTCGAGATAGAGTCTCGTTCTGTCGCCCTGGCTGGAGTGCAGTGGCATGATCTTGGCTCACTGCAACCTCCGCCTCCCGGGTCCAAGTGATTCTCCTGCCTCAGCCTCCCAAGTAGCTGGGATTACAGGCACCCACCACCACGCCCGGGTAGTTTTTGTATTTTTTTTAGTAGAGACGTGGTTTCACCGTGTTGGCCAGGCTGGTCTCAAACTCCTGACTTCAAGTGATCCGCCTGCCTCGGCCTTCCACAGCGCTGGGATTGTAGGCGTGAGCCACGGTGCCCGGGCTCTCACGGTACATTTGTTGCTTGACAAACCAATAATGATGTATTATTATTGCGAACTGAAGTCATAGTGTAAGTTATAGTTCACTGTGCAGTTCATTCTATGGGTTTGGACAAATGCATGCCATGTCTCACCATTACGTGTTACACAGAATATTTTTACCGCTCTGAATTCTACTAAAAAAATACCAAAAGTAACAGGATGTGTTGGTGCATGCCTGTAATCCCAGCTACTCGGGAGGCTGAGGCAGGAGAATCACTTGAACCCAGGAGGCAGAGGCTGCATGAGCCAAGATGGTGCCACTGCACTCCAGCCTGGGCGACAAAAACAAAACTTCATCTCAAAAAAAAAATAAAAAAGCAATGAAGAGCCATAGGATGTTTTACAGGGAAGGGCAGAATTTGAGCCACTTAAAAAAAATTAACAAACTTTTTCCTTTTCAGTGTTCAAGATTATAGACTTTCTAATTGAATTTATCTGTGTGTTTTATTTTTTTAATTTTTTTTGAGACAGAGTCTCACTCTGTTGCTGAGGCTGAAGTACAGTGGCGCAATCAAGG